ATATGGTATATCCATGAAAGTAGAACTTACGAAAAGCAATAGAAAAATTACATAAGAAAAGCAAAAAATCTAACCTGGAAAGGCAATGGACAACAGCTCCATGCAAATGGTGGCTATGGTGTCATCAGAATATCACTTATTTTTCTCGCAGAATCTCGAGCCTGCAGGCCCACTGACTTTTTCAGGACGGTCACCATCCAAGACATCCCCATTCTCCCTTCAAGCTTTATTATTTGTTTGATAATCCTTGCTATATATATATATATTCACAAGCACAATTACTTTCTGTTGCCATGTAAAAAATTATGATTCTTGATGAGCAAAGACTTTAATTTTTAATGCATGGGTAGTGATGCCTCCTTTAATGAATTTGATTATGCATAACACCAAAATTACTTCTGTTGGCCAGATTAGATTTTGAGAGTTGTAGAGCCTACATATTTTATTGTATCTATACATCTGGCAACGTACTAAATGTTGTATACATTAAGGTTAATTTATCTGCAAACTTATAGAATTACCACACACACCTCAAAAGATATATTTATTCATTATTCAGTAAAGTTTTGATTTGAATGTCTAGCATATCACAGAACACTTGCAAGGTAGCATGACTTCAAGGAAATAATAAAAAAGATATAAAAATGACAAACCCCAGCTGCCCATAGCCCACACCTGGTGGCCCGATTAGTGGTACACACACACATCCACCTTACCTGACTTAATCCTCTCTCAAACTTGCTTTCTCTCAGTTCCCACCCACCATCCTCCAACTAGAATACTGCATAGTCTTATTTACTGATACTGTTGATATGTCGACTAACTTTACTCTTACCATAGAGAAAGAGTCCGGTATGGCCAGGTGGTTAGGGTGCTTGACTTGCAATCAGAGGATTGTGGGTTCGAATCCCTATCCCACCAAACATGATTGCCCTTTCAGTCATGGGGGCATTATAATGTGATGGTCAATCCCATTATCCCTTGGTAAAAGAGTAGCCCAAGATTTGGCAGTGATGACTAGCTGCCATCCCTCTGCAAAATTTGGGATGGCTAATGCAGATAGCCCTCATGTAGCTTTGAGAGAAATTCAAAACAAACCAAACTATAGTGAAAACAAAGTGAAGGCTGATTGGTAAAAACTTGACAAAGTACAACTTAATAAATATCATCAGTAGTACTAAACTTGTCCAATGGGGAAAAAATACAAGCTGAGAACTAGATACATAGCATGTGCCCCCATTTCCATCACTGGTCATAGGTTCAAATATCATCACTGAATATGCTTGCTCTTTTAGTCATGGGTCAATCCTCATTCATTAGTAAAGAGTAGCCCAAGAGTTGACTGGCTATCTTCCCTCTAGTCTATCACATCTAAATTAGGAATGGCTAGTGCAGAATGCCCTAAAGCTGCTTTATGTGAAATTCAACAAACATCACACTTTACTACCATATGAAGACCATATATTATGTCTGATTGTG